ATGGCCAATCAGCATATGAAAACACATTCAATATCATTATTAGGAAAATGCAAAGCAAAACCACAATGAGATAGTACCTCACATCTATTAAAAAGCAAAAGCCTAAGCTTTGAAGCTACATACAAAGAAAGATCTGTATCTCATCCCACATTCTGCCTGCCCAAGACAGAGGCTCTGGAGGTACCCCAAATATCCTTGAAAGAGAATTCCCAGAAGAAATATGCTTGACCACTGCCATCAAGTTCCCTGACCACTCAATATGTCATGAAAATAGAAGCTAACACACTTGTGTTCACTGTGGATGTCAAAACTCTACTACAGTGATATGGCCAAGGTCAAAACTCTGGTAAGGCTTGATGGGGAGAATGCATGCTTTTCTGGTGCCTCTTGATTATGATGTTTTAGATGTTGCCAACAAAACTGGGACTCATCTGGGCAATTCTAAACATATTTTTCACCACAAGAAATATTAAGTATTGGAAAAGATGTGAAGAACCTCTTACATTGTTGATAGAAATGTAAAATGTAAAACAATATAGGAGTTCTTCAAAAGATTAAGTATAGAACATATGACCCACCAACTCCACTTCTGGATATATACCGACAATAATCAAAAGCAGGGCCGGGGATTTAGCTCAGTGGTTCTGCCGCCTGCCTCGCAAGCGCAAGGACCTGAGTTCGATCCCCAGTACCAAAAAAAAAAAAAAGAATCAAAAGCAGAGACCTAAGTGGTTTGTCTACCCATGTTCACAGCAGCATTATTCACAATAGCCAAAAAGTAGAAGCAACTCCACTGACAGATGAAAAACCAGAATGTGGCCTTAAGAAAAAAATTCTAGAGGTTGTGGGGCACAGTTCAGTGGTACAGCACTTGCCTAGCATGTGTGAGGCCCTAGGTTCAATCCCTAGCACCACAGGAAAAAAGAAGAAAAAATAAAATTCTGATACATGATGTAACACAGATGAACCTTGAGGACATTATGTTAAATAAGCCAGTCACAAAAAGAACATACATTATATGGTTCCACTTATATGAAGTACCCACAATAGTCAGATTCAAAAACAGAAAGGATGGTGATTGCAAGGGTGGTGAGAGTTAGGTGTAAATGGAGTGTTATTGTTTAATAGGTAAGAAGTTTCAGTTTTCCAATCTGAAAATAGCTCTGTGGCTGGATAGTAGTGATGGTAGCAAAACAATGTGAATATATTTAATGCCACTGAATTGTACACCTCAAAATGGTTATTTTCTTTTTTTTGGTACCTCGGATCAAACTCACTCGACCTTGTGCTTTCCAGGCAGGCGTGGTGCCACTGAGCTAAATCCTGGGCCCCTCTTTTTTCTTAAAATAGCATCTCACTATATAGTCCAGGCTGGCCTCAAACTCCTGGCAATCCTCTTGCCTCACCCTTCCAAGTGCTGGGATTATAGGTGTGCATCACCATGCCCGGCTCTAAAATGGTTAACATTTTTAATGTGTATTTTAAAGTTAAAAATAAATAAACTGGGTGTGGTGGCGCATGTCTGCAAACCCGGTACTCTGGGAGGGTGAGCAGGAGGATCGAAAGCTGGAGCCCAGCCTGGGTAACTCAGTGAGGCCTTGTCTCAAAATAAAGGGAAAAAACAGGGCTGAGGATGTAGCTCAGTGAGAAAACCCTGGGTTCAAATGCCAGTAGCACCATAAAAAAAAAAAAAAAAGCCATTATGAAAATTAAATAATTAGAAACTCTATTTGCACATGCGTTTTTGTTATTTTATCCAATTAATGGAGGTGCAGTGTCTACTCTGAAATGCAAACATATTTGTGAAAATTTAACTACATTTTTTTTTTTTTACTTTTAAAAATGTTCCTTCTGGGCCAGGGATTTAGCTCAGTGGTTTCACCACCTGCTGCACAAGCGTAAAGACCCGAGTTCGATCCCCGGTACCGGGGTGGGGGTGGGGGATATGTTCCTTTAGCCAGGCATCATGGTACATGCCTATAACCTCAGCACTTTGGGAGGCTGAGGCAGGAGGATCCCAAGTTTGAGCCTGGCCTGCGCAACCTGGTGAGACCTCATCTCAAAGTAAAAAAGGGCTGGGGATGTAGCTCAGTGTAAAGGCTGAGTTTAACCCCCAGTACAATGCTCTCCCCTCAACAAAATCCTTTAAAAATGTCTGTTTTACTGGAACCTACAACTAGCAAATACTCCATAATAAGAACTGTCTCTATGTATCGAAGTTACAAGGTAAGTTCAAATAGTTATAATTAAGGTGGGGGGGGTGCGTGCCTGTAATCCCAGCACTTGGGAGGCTAAGGCAGGAGGATCATAAATTCTGGGCAATTTAAGAGATTCTGTTTCAAAATAAAAAGAGCTAGGGATGTATTTTAGTGCAAAAGCTCTGGGTTCTATCCCCAGTACTATTACCGGTACCAAGAGAAGTTACAGTATCAGGTGTCTGGAAAATCAGAGTTCTGATTTCTCTAGAAAAGTCATCATTTTAAGAGTCGGTATTTCAGATGAGCTTTGGAAAACAGGACCTTCATGGAGAGATATGAGACAGTGGGGAGGGAATTGAAGCAGAGGGAAGAACATTTACCAGAGTGCTTGGTTTTCTTGGGAAACTGAAGTACATGTGGGTAAACTCTGGGCAACAGAAATGGTAAAGCAATACTGCCACAATGGAAGGTCTCATTCCAGCCTAAGCTACTATATTGAACGGAAGGAAATGACAAAATCAGAAACGTATTATTTGGAAGGTATATGTTATGAAATAAAAAAACCTAGAGAAAGAGGTTCTCGCAGAGCATATCAATGCTACATCTTTGATGTGACTTTCTTTACTTTCACAGTACTAACCTACTGGCACTCTGTCAAAGGAAGTAGGAATCTATGCTCTTTTTTTATTTTTTGTTTTACCATTATTCCATTATTTTATAATTCAGAACTATAAATGAGAATCTACTCTAGAAAATATAAGCGATTTAAAATTGAGCCAGGCATGGTAGTGTACACTTGTAATCCCAGCACTCAGGAGGCTCAGGCAGGAGGATCATTTTGAAGCTGGGGCCAGCCTGAGTTATATAACAAGGCCCTGTCTCAACCAAAAAAAAAAAAAAAAA